CATATTTTCGTCGTATTTATTCGTCGTATTTTATTATTTCCACTATTTTCCATTGTCATTTTAACGCGTTTATTAATTCACATAATTTATCTTCATTTATCTTCATTTCATTTTTATTTTACATATTTCGCTTCATTATTTCATTGTTTCATTGTCTATAGTGTTCTATATTTTATTTTACTTTTCCTTTGCCGTTTATACTTATATATTTTTATTTATATTTCACATTATTTTGTGCTACTTTGCGTTTGTTTCATTTACTTTATATTATTTTATTTATTATGGTACAGTGGGGTAGTGTGCCTTGATAATTTATGCAACTTGCGTTATATTCATTATTTGTTTTATTTATTTTATTACCGTAATTTCATTCTATCTCATTGTTGTCTTTTATTTATTTAATTATTCGCAACGGTATAATTGTGTGATTAATAAACCTGCGCAATTTACGTCCCTTTGCGTGATTTAATTGTTCAATTTATTTATCGTCTTATCGTATTTGCCGTTCTATTTGGTTCTATATATATTAATATCAGTGGTTAATATCGCTGTTTGGTGTGTTAATGGTTTACGCGGTTTACATTGCTGTCTCGTCTTATTTATTTCATTACCCATCGTATTCTATTTTATTTATTTTATTTACCATCTACATTCATATTTCATATCTCATGGTTCATATTATTTCATGTCTTTCGCGTCATTACGGGTATTGCATTTATTTATTTCCTTTATTTTGTGATTCAATACGTAGTCCGCTTGTCATCCGGTTGTTCGGCTTATTGTTTAGTTTATTTATTTTATTTTATTATATTTTTCATTTTCATCGATTCATATCCGTGGTACAACGTATTTAACGTGTTTATTGGTTACGTGGTTACGTGATTTACTTTTCTTGTTCTTTCGATTTTGATTTTCGATTATCTCATTCATAGTATTCATCGTATTTATTCCTTTATTTCTTTCTTATATCGTGGCTTACATATTTCATTTTGGTCTTTCCACGACGATGCAGCAGTGACATGTGCTGAAATAAATTGAACTGATTAATAAATAAATAAATTGGACAATCCGGGTTGTGTTTTTAATTGTTCCTCTTGTTCCAGTTCCAGTTTTGTTTTAGTTTATTTCAGGTTTAGTGTGTTTGTTTTAATGATGTGGTGCGATGAGGGATTGCTTATGTGCTTCTGGTGTAAATAGTTTTGTGTAGTTTATTTGTTGCGTGATGGGTGCTCATTTACTTTCCTTTCCTTTACTTACTTACTTATAATATTGTATTACATTCACGCTTTCTTGCTTTCATTCACGCCTTCTTTCACTCACGTTACCTTCCTTGCCTTCTTTATTTTTCTAAATCTTGCATTTACTTAATCTTCCCATTCATTCAGTCATTATTCATTAACTCATTCATTCATTCTGATCAATTAAAGTTAAATTAATGGATATGATATGATTTATTTTACTTTAGTTTTTATTTCTATGATGATGAGTGGTTTTGTCCATTCAAATGCTTTGATGGTGCAGGGTTTGTTATAATCTTATCATTTAAGTATCCTTATTTACTTATTTACTTATTTATTTATTTATTGTTAGTCTATACAATGGTATGGTGTTTATCGAACTACGCAGTTTACATTTGGTTTGATTTGCTTTCTTGGTCACTTTAGTTACTTTATTTTGATACGTCATTCAATAACCAGCTCTATTTGCATTTGCATTGACATGACCATTTATCATTTACCATTTACCATTTATAATTTAGTTTATAACCTACTTTGGTGAGGAAATAGAGTGTCGTAGCTAATAATCTTTACGGTTATATTTCATTGAGTTCACTTCTGGTACTTTGTATTCTATTTAGTATATTTCATTTTGTTTTACATTATATTACATTACACTATTTACATTATGTTGATTACAGCCTTTATTTTATATTTTATGCCTTATTATCTATCTTGTTAGTTACCTCATCCTTCTTTATTATCTTTAATTGATTATTTCACCGTTCAGTCATTCATTCATTCTCTCATTGTTTATTCGTTCTGACATAGTACTGCTTTTTGCTCTCACTCACGCCTCCTACCTTCTTTATTTTCCTTAATCTTTAATTTCCTTAATCGTTCCATTCATTCATTTATTATTTATTCATTATTCATTATTCATTCACTTATTCATTCTGATCAATTAAAGTTAATGGATATGATTTATATTACTTTATTTTACTTTATTTTAATTAAGTTTTGCTCTCTCTACAATGATAAGTGGTTTTGTCCATCCAAATGTTTTGATTGTGCGTGAATTTTATTATAATCTTATCATCCAAGTACTCTTATTTATTATTTACTTATTTATTTATTCTATTTTTATTTTATTTTATTTCATTTTATTCTTATTTCAGTTTATACACTGGTATAGTGTGTATTGAACTACGTACTTTACATTTGATTCATTGTTGCTTTAGCTATTTTATTTTGATACATCATCCAATAATCAGTTCTATTTGCATTTGCATTGACATAATCATTTACCATTTATAATTTAGTTTATAATCTACTTTGGTGAGGAAGTAGAGTGTTGTAGCTAATAATCTTTACGGTTATATGTCATTGAATTCACTTCTTGTATTTTGTATTTTGTATTCAGTTTATTATTGCATTCTGTTTTACATTATATTGCATTACTTATATTACAGTGCATTACATTACATTATTTACATCAGGTTGGTTACGGCCTTCACTTTTACTTTATGCTTATTATTTATTATTTACCTCATTATGTACCTCATTCTTCTTTAACATCTTTAATTGATTATTTCACTGTTCAGTCGTTCATTTTTGCATTCTCTCATTGTTTATTCGTTGACACATTCCTGCTTTCTTGCTTTCACTTACGCCTTCTTACCTTCTTTATTTTCCTTAATCTTTATTTTCCTTAATCGTTCCATCCATTCATTCATTATTCATTATTCATTATTCATTCACTCATTCACTCATTCATTCTGATCAATTAAAGTTAATGGATATGATTTATACTACTTTATTTTAATTAAGTTTTGCTTTCTCTACAATGATAAGTGGTTTTGTCCATCCAAATGCTTTGATTGTGCGTGAATTTTATTATAATCTTATCATTCAAGTACTCTTATTTATTATATACTTATTTATTTATTCTATTTTATTTTATTTCATTTTATTCTTATTTCAGTTTATACACTGGTATAGTGTGTATTGAACTACGTACTTTACATTTGATTTCATTGTTGCTTTAGCTATTTTATTTTGATACATCATCCAATAATCAGTTCTATTTGCATTTGCATTGACATAATCATTTACCATTTATAATTTAGTTTATAATCTACTTTGGTGAGGAAGTAGAGTGTTGTAGCTAATAATCTTTACGGTTATATGTCATTGAATTCACTTCTTGTATTTTGTATTTTGTATTCAGTTTATTATTGCATTCCGTTTTACATTATATTGTATTACTTATATTACAGTGCATTACATTACATTATTTACATCAGGTTGGTTACGGCCTTCACTTTTACTTTATGCTTATTATTTATTATTTACCTCATTATGTACCTCATTCTTCTTTAACATCTTTAATTGATTATTTCACTGTTCAGTCGTTCATTTTTGCATTCTCTCATTGTTTATTCGTTGACACATTCCTGCTTTCTTGCTTTCACTTACGCCTTCTTACCTTCTTTATTTTCCTTAATCTTTAATTTCCTTAATCGTTCCATCCATTCATTCATTATTCATTATTCATTATTCATTCACTCATTCACTCATTCATTCTGATCAATTAAAGTTAATGGATATGATTTATACTACTTTATTTTAATTAAGTTTTGCTTTCTCTACAATGATAAGTGGTTTTGTCCATCCAAATGCTTTGATTGTGCGTGAATTTTATTATAATCTTATCATTCAAGTACTCTTATTTATTATATACTTATTTATTTATTCTATTTTATTTTATTTCATTTTATTCTTATTTCAGTTTATACACTGGTATAGTGTGTATTGAACTACGTACTTTACATTTGATTTCATTGTTGCTTTAGCTATTTTATTTTGATATATCATCCAATAATCAGTTCTATTTGCATTTGCATTGACATAATCATTTACCATTTATAATTTAGTTTATAACCTACTTTGGTGAGGAAATAGAGTGTTGTAGCTAATAATCTTTACGGTTATATTTCATTGAGTTCACTTCTGGTATTTTGTATTCTATTTTAGTATATTTCATTTTGTTTTACATATTATTACATTACATTACATGACATTATTTACATTATGTTGGTTACAGCCTCACTTTATATTTTATGCCTTATTATTTATCTTGTTATTTACCTCATTCTTCTTTATTATCTTTAATTGATTATTTCACTGTTCAGTCATTCATTCTTTCATTCTCTCATTGTTTATTCGTTCTGACACATTCCTGCTTTTTGCTTTCACTTACGCCTTCTGACCTTCTTTATTTCCTTAATCGTTCCATTCACTCATTCATTATTCATTCACTCACTCATTCTGATCAATTGAGGTTAATGGATATGATTTATTTTACCTTATTTTACTTATTTTAATTAAGTTCTGCTATCTCTACTATGATAAGTGGTTTTGTCCATCCAAATGCTTTGATTGTGCGTGAATTTTATTATAATCTTATCATTCATCTACTCTTATTTATTATTTACTTATTTATTTATTCTATTTTATTTCATTTTATTCTTATTTCAGTTCATACACTGGTACAGTGTTTATTGAACTACGTACCTTATATTTCATTTCATCTATTTGTTGCTTTAGCTACTCTATTTTGATATGTCATTCATTAATTAGTTGTATTTGCAGTTGTATTGACATGACCATTTATCATCTACCATTTACCAGTTACAGTCTAACTTATAATCTACTCTGGTAAAGAAATAGAGTATTGTAGTTAATAATCTTTACGGTTATATCTATTGAATTCACTTCTTGTATTTTGTATTTTGTATTCAGTTTATTATTGCATTCTGTTTTGCATTATATTGCATTACTTATATTACAGTGCATTACATTACATTATTTACATTAGGTTGGTTACGGCCTTCACTTTTACTTTATGCTTATTATTTATTATTTACCTCATTATTTACCTCATTCTTCTTAATATCTTTAATTGATTATTTCATTGTTCAGTCGTTCATTTCATGCTGTCATTGTTCATTCATTCTGAATTAAATTGAATCAAGGTAACTGTTAAGATTTAGTTTATTTTGACTCACGATGGTACAAAGTTCTGTAAATGGCATTAATATTAATATAATTATGGTTTGTTTGCATACAATTATTCTATATATATTTTCTATATTTAATTTATTTGTGCCACGTATCACTGTCTACCATCATTTATTTTATTTTATTTCTTGTCACCTCTATCCTTGGACATTCCTTGGACATTTTGACATTTTGATATTCTTCTCTGGTATTCTTTAATTCAATTTATTCAAGCCGTTTCTCTTCGATAATAGTATAGCTCTTTGATGACGGTGTGCTGTTCCTGTAGGAATTAATATTCATGTCATTAACTTGTGCTACTCTTGTTTAAATTTATTATGCGTTATTATAATCATTACCTTGTTTGTTTCTTTTCTCTTCTTTTCTTTTATATTTCCTTTCTGCTAGTTACCTGCTGCCTTGGTTGCTTTGATTCTACTTTGGTTACATTTATTTATTAACTGACTGGGTGTTACATGATTGGTCCTACGTGACTTTCCTGACTCCATGCGTTATCTGACGTTGTGAGATGGCTATATTTGATTTCGATTCTGTTTAGGTTGAATGTTTCATTCGTTTATTTATTCAGCCTTTCGTTCTGTGGTGGTTTCTTTGTTTCGTTGTTCTGCGTAGTTTGTTTCCTGCGGCGCGATAGGCAGTAACATGATGCGTCCTGCAATCTGCGGATCTTATTCGGGTTGATTTCATTTCTTTCATTTCATTCTATCTTCATCATTGTTTATACTTAACATTTACTTCATCCTACACTATTGCAAACGTATGATTTATATATTTATAAATAATAAATGATAGCCGTGGTATTGTTTTATTAATTGATTTATTCTTGATTTTAATCCGTCTGGGGTTCTATTTGTTGCCCGTTTGCTTTAATAATTACCTTTCCCGTGAGTCGTGGTAATGTTTTATTAATTGATTTATTCATGATTTTAATCCGTCTGGGGTCTTATTTGTCCGTTTATAATTACCTTTCCGTGAATAGTATTGGATATCGGACTTATCTTTTATGGTAAGTCTGATGGTAAGTATGGCTTCCTAGGATGGCGCGGTTGCGCGACGGATAGTTTAGCTGTCGGTAACTGAGATGTAGCAGATATCTGGCGCGCGGTGGGTAACTGCTGCGCGGCGGATAGCTGGTCGGTGGATAACCGTTACGGGATGAACGGCCGAGTATTGTATGGTAAATAAGTAGAATGCTTGTGGCCGATAATATTTGGCTGCCGGTGCTGCGGATGGTTACCAACTAAGGATAATTTGTAATTATTATCAACGGATAGTGTTGCGTACTTTACTTTATTTAGTGAGATACCGGAATGTTTTCCGCTATCGTTACCTTCCGTTGCATTCTATTCGTGTTTGGTTTCGTTCACTGTAATTTATTGAAAGTGTTTTATTGATGTATTTAGTCGCGGGCGCTTGTACGTCCCGTGTAATAATCAATTAATTAATTTGATAACTAATTTAATAGACAACAGACATAATGGGACGAACTGTAAATTTTACGAAATTCCTCGAAGGTTACGCATCTATATGGCGTATGGTTTATGGCTTAAGCTTCACGCGGTTTCTTATCTTTGGTTGACATGATCATCGGCGGCACTGGTTTACTCCATCTCCATGTGCCATGTACTCGGTTGTGACATGGAGGAGGATCGTGAATTAATTGAATCGTTAAATTGCTGAGTTCTGATTAGGCCATTAATATTGAATATTGAATATCGGTGCGTGTGAGTTTGTGATTTGTGCGTGTACCCATTGCAATGAGTGGTGACATGTGCTATTGTGCTCCGTTTTCTGATATATTATATATATGTATTTATTTATATTTATTTATATATTTGTATATTTATATTTACATATTCATTATTCTTATACTTATACATATTTTTATACTCATACTTATACCCAATTTGCATATTGCATATTATTTGCAATAAATTCAGTTAGTATTGTGTAATATTGTGTAATATTTTGCATCATTATCCTTCTACGGCTAATTAATGAATAAAGTTAATTGACAGTTATATCTGAAACACTTAGTTGCCTTGTCGAGTGCTGAGTGTATTCATTTTATCTTACCGTACCTTCGTACCTTCTACCTTCTTAATATTATGTCTGTTCAGGATAATATAATCTGCCTCATTGCATATTCAACGTAATGGATTCTGTAAATTTATTTGATTTAGCCTCATTGGATGACTGCGTCTATGTGAGATGTATGAATGAGTGTATGGATATGCTTGTTGGTGGAATGTACTTCAATGTATCTTGTTCTATTCTATTTTATTTTGTGTCAGTTACGTTCGTCTATATACTATACTTTACACTTTCTTTACTTTCCTTACTCTCTCTATCTGCCTTTATTTGCCTTAACTTGATTAACTTCTTTAATAGCTCTATTGCTCACTCACTCATTCATTCATTCGCTTATTATCTACAATTATTTATTTAGAGTTATTTGGATTTAAGTACGGTTAATTTTCTTGAGAGGATAGATGATTTTGTCCATTCAAATGCTTGACAGCGCGTGGCTTCTGTTATAATCACACCATTTGAATTTCATTTCAAATACCCTACTTCTTTGCTTATTTATTTATTTATCTGTTATTCTTTATTTTATTCTTTTACTATGTAATGGTGTGGTGTCTAGTTGAACCACGCACCTTATATTTGATTTGTTTTATTTGTCATTATATTTATTATTTACTATCTTTATACATCAGTCGGTTATGAATTTTTACCTTCTATTTGCATTTGCATGGACATAATCACTTACAATTTATAATCTATAATTTATAAAGTAGTGGGGATGGAGTCAATAATGTTTACGGTCATATTTAATTAGAATATAACTCACTTGTTGTATTTATCTTATTTTCTTTTACATTATTTTGCATTATACTACATTATGTCAGCTATGTCTGTTAAGCGTTACACACTTTCATTTGCTGTAGTTCCTCAGTTTGTGAATATCTTCAGCTTTTCCTCTCGCATTCAGTATTCATTCATTCATTTATTATTCATTATTCATTTTGATGTTGCCTGATTATAGTTATACATTGATTTGATCTGATTTATTTGATTTATTTTCTGACTCATATTTCCTTTCCGCCAGTTGCTTGTTGCCTTGCTGCCTTGACTTTATTCTGGTTTTATTTATTCTGTTAACTAATATTATTTGACTGGGTGTTGTCTGAATGGTTCCATGGGTTTTCCTGACTATATGCGTTTCATATTGATTTTGCTTTGGTTTAGGGTCTTATTTTATTTATTTATTCGGCCTCTCATTCCTTGGCGGTTGTTTTCCTTTATCTTCATTGCCTTTTGTATAATTTGTTTCTTTGCGACGTTATCATGCAGTAACGCAGTGCGTCCTGCAATCTGCGCAATCTGCGGGACTTATTCGGGCTGATTTTATGATTTATTATTTTTATTATTTTTCTAATTATTTTATTGACTTATATCGTGTCAGGCTACTTTATGCGTTTTAACTATAATTATATTCTATCTTATTATTTTATCACAAACTTATATGATGTTTTATATAGGTAATGTATTTATAACCATAATATTGACTTATTTCTTTATATAATAATTAATTAATGCCTGATGTTGGCCCGTTTGAAGTTTATCTCTGATCCCATTGATTTAGCATAATTATCTTTTCGATTATAGTATTGTATACCAGACTTATCTTTGATGGTAAGTCTGATGGTAAGTACGGTTTCCCAGGATTGCGCGGCAGCACGATGGACGGTTCTGCAGTCGGTAACTGTGTAACTGGTAATTGGCGCGTGGTAGGTAACTACTGCGCGGCAGATAATTTGCCTGTGGATAGCCGTTACGGAGTGAGCGGCCGAGTATCACTGTCTGGTAAACGGAATATTTGTTGCTGGTAATATCCTTGGTACTGCGGTTGATTACCAACTAGGCATAGCTTGCGGCTTATGGTCATCTTTTGTAGGTACATTATCTTTGGTTTTGGTCATTTTGATTCATTTTGATTTGTTTAAACTGTTTTGTTTATGCATTTTCGCTTTTCGCTTATGAGCACTTATATATACTCTATTATAATTACTTAATTACTTAATTTGATGGTTTGATGGATAATTGACGGTTGATAACCATTATGGAGTGAACTAGGGAATTTTAATTTTATGAACACTAGGTTCTATCTCTATATGTTTTATGTTTTATGCTTTATGGTCTCGTTCTCGCTCTTTTACTCGGCCCGGTTTTCAGTCTTAGGTAACATAGTTTTCGGTGACGCGTGTTTACTCTTCTCTTCTCCGGGCATTGTGCAAATTTGTGCATTATTTACTCGTCTGTGATCTGTGATGTGAAGTGATAACTAAATTAATTATTTAATTCTTCTATTTAAGTATAAATCAAAATTTAATTGGTGCGAAGGTGATTGTGGTGAAATGCGCGCTCCACCGCGATGCATTGTGTTCCATTGCAGTGTATGTGTTTCAAAGTGGTGCTATTTACTCCGTTCTGTGTAAATTATAATATATTATATTATATTATTTATTTTATATTATGGTCATATTTGTATTCATGTTTATTACATTCAATTACCTTCTATCTCCGTTTAATTCAATCTATGTATTGAATAAAGTATTGAATATGTATATTACTATATTATTATATCAGATTTTGGATTATATTCAGTTATTTTAGTTATTTCAGTTACATTAGGTTATACTTAGTCAGTATTTTGTGCTACACTGTAAACTGTATTGTATTGTATTATATAACTCCCTATCTTCTATTCCATTATATTATTATAGTTGAGTGAATAAACGAATGGGGTGATCAGCGGTGGATATGGTATATTGAATAAATTAGGTTAAATTAATTAAACGACTTGACAAGTGCTTGTTTTATTTCACCGTACCTGCCGTATTTACATATTTACATTATTATGTGATGACATGTGTCTATATGCCTTAGTGTAGTTTAATTGGCCTTATTGCATGCTGAACATAATGGATTCAATGGAATTCACTAGAATCTATTAGAATTTGTTGGTTTATATGGATTTGTTGTTTGAATGCATATATTATGTGAATGCATATATTATGTACGTTTCATTGTGCTGCGTTACCTTCATATATATTTTAAGGACAGTTTGATCCTGCGTTTCCTGTTGCATTGTGTTATGAGATGACTTAGGTGTCACTACTATGCTGTGTCTTGGTTATATTAATATATATTAATCCATATACAAATTATACATTATAAATTTAAATTTACATTTACTTAGTCCGGCTTTGACAATATTGCACTTTCCTACCCATTTTGATATGGTTCAGCTGTCAATAAGTAAGTGAGCGCAGCAATTTTCTTTATACTTTGACAGGAATTGTTGTTCCTCAAGGCGCCCTAATGGAATACTTTGTTTTCCTTCCTTTTAATTGATTACCGGTCTACTTCATTACACACAGATTCAACTACGAGCTTTTTAACCGCAACAACTTTAATATACGCTATTGGAGCTGGAATTACCGCGGCTGCTGGCACCAGACTTGCCCTCCAATGGATCCTCGTTAAAGGATTTAAAGTGTACTCATTCCGATTACGGGGCCTCGGATGAGTCCCGTATCGTTATTTTTCGTCACTACCTCCCCGTGCCGGGAGTGGGTAATTTGCGCGCCTGCTGCCTTCCTTGGATGTGGTAGCCGTTTCTCAGGCTCCCTCTCCGGAATCGAACCCTGATTCCCCGTTACCCGTTACAACCATGGTAGGCGTAGAACCTACCATCGACAGTTGATAAGGCAGACATTTGAAAGATCCGTCGTCGGTGCTAGATGACCATACGATCAGCACAAAGTTATTCAGAGTCACCAAAGCCGACGATGGACGAACGGACAAGCCGTCCGCCACCGATTGGTTTTGATCTAATAAAAGCATTCCTCCCATCTCTGGGTGGAATTCTGGTTTGCATGTATTAGCTCTAGAATTACCACAGTTATCCAAGTAATGTTTTGTACGATCTAAGAAACCAAAACTGATTTAATGAGCCATTCGCGGTTTCACCTTAATTCGGTATGTACTTAGACATGCATGGCTTAATCTTTGAGACAAGCATATGACTACTGGCAGGATC